CAATTTTGTTTGTCAGTAATACTGACAAATTTAAGTGCACTGTAACTACTGTAAAACTCAAAGTTAAAAGGTAACTGAAACAATTTGAGGAAACTCATTGCAAAACCATTCAAGTTCAAAAACTGAGTTCCTAATGAGTTTTGTTAACTTAATCCAGGAGTAAACAGCAATTTGAGCACAGTAAAACCCAATAAATGAAGAACTCAAACCAACTCAAACCTTATAAGTTAAGGCAACTCAAACTGTTTCTGGAAACCGATTGCCACAAACCATTTGAGTTAAACTAATTTGAGTATTGTGAACTTACTCCATTTAAGTTAAAGTAATAGGGTCTTTAATCAACTCACTACCTTAAACAGTTTAAAACTCTTTTCAAATGAGGAGAATTAACTTTCAGTAAACTGAGTTAACTACACTTATTTCATTTGATAAAGTTGACTTTTGGGTTTAACAGTGTACAAACTACAGCAATTGTAATTTAATTTAAAGTGAACCAAAATTGCCAGTAAAACTTTAAAATTTTACAGCATTTAATTTTTTACAACGTGTAATATCATGGTACAGCATTAACAGAATAGTTCTTAGTTATATAGACATAGAAATTTTAAACTTTTAATTTTCTGTCAGTTTCACACAATGTAACTTCCGAAGTGTCAGGCTTAGAACAAAACAATTATTGAAACTCTTTTTGAGTGAGATTGTAACAGGGAGACTGAGAAGGAGGGATCCATTTTGCAGTATTTATTAATCACAATCAAGCACAAAAATCCAATACGCACAACAGTGCGAACACACATCAACAGTAATCAATCAAGGTCGTAGGGCTGGCGGCTGACAGACACAGAGAGATTTACCAGGCTTAGATCAGTGGCAGGCAGCGTGGTTCAGAGTCCTTATAGCAGGCGTGGGTCTAGGGCAGGCAGCGTGGTTCAGAATCCGTGTATCAAGCAAGGGTCGTGGGCAGGCAGAAAGCAACTCAGAGTCAGGAACAGTCCGGGGTTATGCACAAGAGATCAGGCAGGAAATAACACTCAGAAATGCTGGCCGGGGCTAAACAAGACTTCGCAATGAACAGTGGTTTGAGTATGGCTCATATAGGTGGCGTGGGTCATTACCGTGATTCAGTTCAGGTGTTTGCACAATCAGTGTATGTGGATGATGTAATGCTAAAAGTCCGGGGATGGCGGCCTCTGCTGGCCAGCAAGGGGAATGACTGGGACCGAGTCGGTGACAGAGATGCTAATAATTTAATCAAATTCAATGTGATTTATGCTAAGCTAAGCTAAAATTGTCAGCTAAAAGGATTTAATAATGGTAAAATTCAACTGATTATACATTTTTGAAAAAAGTGCAGCGTTCCTTTAATGACTGGCTGGTGCAGCACAACTTTTAGGCTCAGATAAGCTCCTGGAAACAAGGGTAGTGTTTGAAACTTATAGGCACCAAACTTATTCCCTATCAGGATGTGACTGATGGTAGCATTTGCATGCTGAAGCAACTCATTAGTCAGATTTTGGACACACTCATGCTAACAATGCTAATAATGTACAACAAAGTAGGGCTTTGGTGATAACCGAGTGTATATTTCATACTGACTTCAAAAGTGGATGAATTTGGTCAAAAATGTAAATGTATGCAAAGAATGGCCACCAAATACACAGTTACGTTTGCCATATAATTTTGTTCCTGTCAAAATTAGCCTATTTGTCCTGTATCCAACACACCACACAGTAGGAGAACTGATTGCTTACTTACTGTGTAATCTTCCCAAACCCTATATGTGGCTTTGATGAAATCCTGTGAAATTTAAATTATTTTAACAATACTTCTCAAGTAGTGTTAGCAAGCATTTTCTTCACAGTATCTACTTTGATATTTTCTTCTGAAGAAAGTCCTACTTCTATTAGTTTGGCTGGAATAATTATTAAATATATATATTGTTCAAAAATATTATTAATCACAACAAAATTACAAAATGATTTGAACTTAATCTAACAGGAGAAAAGGAGCTTTAAAGCATAATTCACAAGTTGCATACATTATTAAGCACAGTATTTAAAAAAAAACTTTAAATGAGAATTTTGAAAAAGGCTGATCCTATATAAAAGAGGACAGGGTAAAGCAGAGAATCTCAAAGGGGAATCGCTTCAACACTGCAGCTGGAATTGCTCAAATTGTCTTAGTACACAGTATCTCCAGAGAATTTACCATTAAGGCTCAGTCTGCACTGGACAAACTGTATAAATATCAGATGAGGCCTGCTGATTGAGAACTGCTGACTGGAATAAAGTAAATAGGGATTATCATCTCCACCTCAATCACTGCATTATAGTCAGGCTCATTTGGTTTTTGGCTTCCCAAACGCAATTAATCATACACAACACTAATGATCCTATTCTAAGTATGTCAATAGATTATTGTCATCACATTTCTCATCTCACCTTGTACAAGCATAAAATTGTTATCAGAAAAAGTGTCAAATCTGCAAGTCTGCACTCAAAAACAATGTCCAGCCATCCATTTCCATTAGAGGAAGCTTTCTCCACTCTGGTTGTATCTGATGCGATTTCAACAAACATTCAGCTCGGTTGTCATCATTTATCCTGTAGAAACTGTTATATGAGTTTAATATGATACATGTAAATTGTCATTTTTACAATATTTTGAAATGTAAATTGCATTTATACCATGTAATATGTGTGTCTGTGTGTGAAATCCAAATATAAAAATGTACGCCATATGTATATATTTCTATGTCTCACATATCATATTTCTGTCTACCTTGTCTATGCCCACTTAGACATTCATTTCAACATTTTGTCCTCATCATTTTATATTTATTTAGTCTTCTTTGTGGCCTCTTCCTTTTATACTTAACAAAATACTAAATGTAAATGTCTGTTTGAATTTGAATTCTGTATGGTCATGTCTGATGCTGTCTGTTCTTGCTTCATTTAGAATCAGGACCAAAAATAATGCAGTAATATGAATAAATAAAATAGTGTTTAATTTTCTTAAGCAGCAGTATTGCACCTCTCAGAGCAGATCTCATTAGGGAGAAAGCTGAGATCCTGCAGTTAAGCTGCAGATCAGCTGCACTCTGCAAAGCATTACCTGTTATGGATTTGTTTTATTAAAAATGAATGAAAAAATTGAAGCAAGGGTAATTTGGGTTCAGTACTGTTGGTTTATGCAAAGTGGAACAAACTATGTATATATAACATAAACAGAGCCCATGGGGGTTATACATAGACTGTAAAATATATACATACAGTACTTAATTAACATACATACAGTACTTAATTGAATCACAAATTAAGCTATAAATTAATCTGGATTTTTTAATGCAATGCCAGGGTCTATATAATAGCCCATATTTTTCTTGCATGTTATTTTTGTTTGTTAATTTATTGAAAGGTGTGTTGATGACACTATTAATTCAATTCCATTAGTTCTAAATAGTTAATTAACTAACAAGGAGCAATAATTTTGTTAGACTTAATAATAATAATAGTAAAAATAATTAATAATAATAACAATAACTATTAATATTACATTTATTTATTTATTTATTTATTATTACTTTAGCATTTTCATAAAAGTGCAACTGCTCATTATTATTTCATGTCAAATCCGACCCATTAAATATACTAACAGATACAGCTTTTTATATTATTAAAGTGTCAGTAAATGTTGATATTCACTAAAGTTAAAAATTGTATTATAATTTATTTGGGGGGTCCTAAGAACTAACATTATAACGAATGCTAAGAAATTGAGCTTTATTATAAAGTATTGCATATTTAAATTTAAGAAATGTACAAAATTTAAATACCAAATGATCAATTATATTTAAAAAAATTTCCATTAATCAATCCCATTTCTGGACCACCTAATCAATGACAGCCAAAGGCTGCACATTTTGGTTAATTTATTGTGTATACTGACATCTAGTGGACATTTTGTTGTGGTGTCAAAAATGTAAGCAACGAAAGGCAATTTATGAGTTTAAATAGTGCAGTTAGAATTACTAATTACACAATTCAGTAGGCTTATTTAAATTACCTCCTTCTTTAGTTCGTCTACTATGTCTGAAGAGTAAGTCCATACTTACTAAAGTAACAGTTTAAAGTACTAATTCTCACTATTAACCTGTGGCTAGCCGCCTATTTGTATTTTAAGTACATGTTTTGCTTGATCTTATTCTACATCCCTAAACTAATACCTAACGCCTACACTACATTAATAACTATTAATAAGCAGCAAATGATACGTTTACTGAGTTAAAATCTTAGTTTGTTAATTCACTAAATCTGAAATAGCCTACTTTTGAAAGAAATCCTTAAAACTGTTTGCATAAGTAAAATTCAAGTAAATCTTACTAACCAATAACTATAACTTGTCAATATTATGTACAATTTATTTGACGTTTTAACCTAACAATCCTAAATAAATTAAGCAAAAGTTAATTGATATTTTTAATTATGAATCTAAAATTATTTAAATTAATCAAGCTGCTAAAGTTTAGTTCTTTTTAGAAACAAACTTTGATTTATATTGCATTAATTAAATATTATTAATAACAATTTGATCAACTTATGATAAACAGCTGTGACATTATTATTTATTTAAAATAATATTTCTAGGTTTATTTACGATTATAAATACTTCAATACTAATATTTAACTAGTTTTACCGAGTTCATATATGAAGTAAATGTGTAAATATTTAAAATTTTACACAAGAAACGCTAGTGTGACTACATTTAATTACTTCAATATTACAGTAATCCCTACATTGTAATATATATATATATATATATATATATATATATATATATATATATATATATATATATATATATATATATATATATATATATGCACCATTAATAGTGCTCATATAATTTATCAAACAGATTAAGTGAAATATATATGTTTGGCAAGCAAAAAACGAGTATACGAATGCGCGTGATTGACAGCCGTTGGCGTTTTAGAGCAGATTCAAATTCAAGCGCCAACGGAACACAACACATTCAGTGCTAGCTGCCTCAAGAGATCCGACGAGACGGAGTTTCTTTCAATAAAGTTATGGTGAGTACTGAATTCTGTATTTATCGAATCTTTTTATGTTTAACCACGAGCAAATGGCAGTAATTTCGACATAAAAACAATCAGCATAAGTATTATGTTAGCTTGCCGCCTCCGATAGATGTTACGTTACATTAACGTTAGTTGCAGAAAAACCAAAGCCTATTGAATGACACACTAATCTCTCCGGGTACTTAGAGTTACTACTTATTGTTCGATTTTTACTTTATGACGGTTAATTGTTATTTCAAACTGATGAGATAAAAGAAACGTAAGTTATCTGTTATGACATGTTTCTTTTTAACCGTAAAGGGAAGCCGCCGTTGCTGGGCGAGGCGAAAATAAACCGCGATGACTTTTACAGTAACTGTTAAGTACTCTTTGAACTACTGAGTATGTTTATTACAGACAGTCTCAAAAACTGCTAGCTATAAAATGTATTTTTTGTGTAGTAAAAAAGCTACCTATCCATTTCAGTAGTAGATTTGAGATAATGCTAGCCACGCCTCCGGAAATTATTACCAGATTAATGTTACCAGAGACAACCTTATAACACTAGGTTGTGGGATTCGCCACTTAGAAAACTTTATAGTAACGTTACTTTATTAATTAATTAATAGTTTCCCCAAAGCTATAACTTTGGAACGAAGTTATACTCATCCTGAATATTAAAAGTAGCTTGATAAACAATATAGGGACCGTGTCACAAATTGTCATTGTTCAAAAATAAACTAATGTGTGAATATAAAACCAACTTTTCCTCAGTAAACAGGCTAGGTGGAATACTATTTACTTATGCTTTATTATTAAACTAAGTAGAAATCTGAAAAGGATGTGCTAAAACAGAAATAACTTGTCATCTTTTTACATTACAAGACAACGACTGACACTAACTTGTTTTCATCATAACTTCTCACTGCTTCTCCCAGAGCTTGTGTTTAAATGCTTAGGTCTATTTAACTTTGATTACGTTACATTATCGATGCTGTAAAAGGCATCTTATGAAATCAATCCTTCACTAGAAGATTTCAGTGGCTGAACAACTCGTCAGTGCATATTGCTCATTTGTTAAAAAAAAAACCCACTGTACTTAAGCTTTGGGTGACTAAAATAGTTTTAAAAAATACCTTTCTTAAATAAATACTTCAGCCATGGTGTTATCCTTCAGATTGTGGTTTTGAACTGCATTCAAGCATGCAAAAGTTTTGATTCAGCATTTTTGGCAAACGTTCTATCAAAAACTATTTTTTATAGATACAAAGCCATGATTTGGTCTTTCAGAAGAAAATTCATGTTGATGCTGAATTTCCATGTCACTGTCTCTGTCAGCTGCAGGTCACCACTGCACGTGAATGCACAACTGATGGATCTCTCTGCATGAACAAGGTGCGCAGATAAACAAATCTATATTTGTTGATAGACAGTTTGGGCTTTCTATCGTAATTTTTAGCCCAAACTTTTTAATTAAACCCATTTTTTAGTCTCATTCCTTACCCAGAATACAAAAAAAACATATAAATACATTTAGATAATTTACTTAAATCTGTACTATTGGAATGTGAAAAGACTTAACCAGCACAACAAAAAAGTTTCTGAAGACAATCCCATACTGCACCTTTAAGGCTTCCAATTCTTATTTCTACTGTAACGTTAGAATTATACATTTATTTTAAAATGAAATATTGTGTAAAGCACAACTTTGCCTTATTTTCAACTTGAAAACATTCAACATTGATTTATAGTTATTCTTCAATGGATAGTTCACCCAAAAATTAAAATTTACTCAGGCCTATGTGGTTTCAAACCTTTATAAGTTTCTTTCTTTTGTTGAACTCAAAAGAAAATATTTTGAAGCTGGAAACCTTTAACCACTGAGTTCCATTGTAGAAAAAAACAAATACTATGGATGTCAATGGTTACATGTTTCCAACTTTCTTCAGAACATCTTTTTTGTTCAACAAAAGTAAGAAAAACAGGTTTGTAACAAATGAAGAGAGAGTAAATTATGACAATTTTCAGTTTTGTGTTAAACAAAAGCCTGTTTTTTGTCTTCTGACTTTAGACATTTGCTTACTATCTAGTTGTTCAAACTTGTAGAAGTTGTCTGTTGTTAAACACATAATATCATATTTTGAAGAATTTTGTGCAATCTTTTGCGTAACATTTACAAAGTATGGAAAGTAAATTACTGATACCATAATAATAATTATGTAAACAACCACATTCTTCCTTAAAAGCACTTAATAACATTTTGTGACCCAAAATTATATTGATGTAAGAAGACATTTTTATATATTTAAACTTAGTATTGACACGTCATTTTATATTTTTAACACACAGGGTCATTGGAAAACCACACAACTACAACGAAGATGGGAATTCTTGAAACAGTAAGCAGCAGCCACTTAATAACAGCCCTGTCAACTGTGCTGAATGTCTGCTGTCCTGGAAGAGGAGATGGTGCTCGACAGCTTTATGCTTTTGGATTATTGTATCCAAAAGTTCCTCTTGAAGATTTTTTTCATTTGTGTCAACTGGGTTAAGTAATCCATTGTTAAGATTTGATGGTGTTTTTTATGCTTTTTGGTGGGACACAAAATGCTAGACTGGGACAGTGACAGATTGTGGCCTAAACCCAGCCATGGTCCAGAACCTCAACCAGATCTATTCATTCTGCTGGGTTTCTCTGCAGGCAGGAGCGGATCAGGCTGCAACACTTCTGCTCATTTACATCTATTCTAAACTGTAAGACAGATTTGATAACTTGTCCTGCATAATCTGCACAGCTAAATCTAGATAATTCTATGTAGTCTGCAGTCCGGTTTCTTTCTTCTCTTTTGTTAGAGAATTAAAGAATTTGACGTTGTTGTGTTGAAGATCTTAGTCAGACAAGCCAGACTTGGACCAAATGTTGAAGTTGATGAGATTGTGGTCATGGGTGTCATGAAATCCCACACACACAAGTGAAAACAGCAGCACACCTAGCAAATATACTATGGCCAGCTCCACATATTTTCCCATAGATTTAAATTTGGGTACATTAGTGTTCCTGTGAGAAGATGCTTTACAATTAAAATAATGCTCATAATGTTAACAGTAAAAAAGTCAAAATCTACAACCTGGTTATAGCCTATAACCTAGTTTTATGTTATATTTAATGTTAATTGCACCAGTTGTTAAGTAGTTGTGCGAATGATAGTGTGAACAATTAGTTGTTCATCATGCGACTTTCTCATCACCACATACATTTGGTTGTGTTTTTGTAACTATAACAAAGTTTTCAATGTAGAAACTTAATAATCTGAGCGATCTGAATTATAATTATTTAGTGCATACCCATAAAGGTTGTATATTCTGCACTCTGAAGGAGATCACCACAGCCAAAGTCAATAAGCTTGACTTCTAGTGTGTCCCTGTTGATAAGGAGGTTCTCCTGTTTAATATCTCGGTGGAAAACACCTTTGCAGCTCATGTATGTGGCTGTTATTGCCTGCCACATTACAATCCGTGCCAGTTCTTTATCAAGTCTCTCTGTGGCTCTGGACGAAAACGAAGAGGTCCTCGCAGGGATCAGACCGCTCCAGCACCATGATGTAATAGTTCCCCTTATCATTCCAGTCCAGCAGCTGGATAATTTGAAAGACTCTGGTGTTTTCATTGTCTAGAATCAATAGAGCGGCCTCCATCAGGAGACAACATCAGACCATGGCTAAGAGAAAGACAGTTTTGATGATGGTTAATGAAGTTTATATTGTCAAATAGGGCTGGGCGATATGGCAAAAAAAAAAAGGATTATTTTTTTATATTGGTCTATATTAATAGTTATCACAATAAATGTCAAATCTTTATATGTCAATTTTAAAGGCTTTTCAGCATAAAAATCTCTGTGCGGCTGATTTGGATTTTGTGAAATGTTTTAGCTGTCTGACAATGCAAACAAAAAACAACAACCAAAGACATTACCCTACAAGTAGTTGTATATTGTTCAACATCAGAACAAATATAAAGCCGGTTTGTAACAAGTAAAAGGTAACAGAATTGTCAGTTTTTGGATGAACTGTCCTTTAAATGGTGAGAATGGTGAATTTAAGGTGAAATATCCTTTAATAAATTTTATTTAGGAATGCTAACGATTACTGAATGATTGATTGATTGTCAATTACCCTTTAATCAACAGACCTTATCAATGACTGATTAAGCATGGACATTTAAAGGTTAAGTTATGCTTTGTGCTGTGAGATGCATCCAGGCATTACATAATCGTGTGTAGTTTACCTTATCTTATGGAGTCACCCTTTTGACATTGCATACTGCGGGATGCATAAAACCCTGATATGTGCAGATCTTGTCTCACACTTCCGACTTCATTCTTCTGAGGTAATCTAAGAATACTTTCAGTGCTGTGAATAGTTTGTAAAGACTGTACTGGCTCATTCATACCGCTTGATTAAAGAAATTAAACTGAAACCATGAAAACAGATAAATAAATTATTTTGACGCTGAAGCATAAAATGACCTTGTTTTGAAGAGCTTCATTTCAGATGTAATTCGTTCTTGTTTATTTTGTAGATAATTGACCTACAAAAGTAAATTAAAATACAAATTATACAAAATGATTCTTTTTTTTCAAAAAGATACAATTTCAAAGAAAAAAATGTTTTTGTTTGTGTCTGTCTTGCATAAATGTTCAGGTGGATGATGTTTTACTCTGAAAAATAAGGATTTAATTATTGATCCGTTTTTGTGTCACAAACATTCGTCATATATTTGCATTGTTTTAAAGATTATGTCTTGAGCATCTGATTTCTCCTTGCTGTTGATGTTCTTTCATTTTATCCATCTCATTCGGGGCGAGTTAAGGTGAGGGGCTGTTAAATAAGTTAATATGCAGTTGAAGTCAGAATTATTAGCCCCCCTTTGAATTTTTCCTTTTTTTATATATATATATATATATATTTCCCAAATGATGTTTAACAGAGCAAGGAGATTTTCAAAGTATCTTTGATAATATTTTTTTTTCTGGAGAAAGTCCTATTTGCTTTATATTGGCTAGAATAAAAGCAGTTTTTTTTAAAAACATTTTAAGAACAAAATTATTAGCCCCTTTTAGCTAACTTTTTTTTCGACAGTCTACAGAACAAACCATCATTATACAATAGCTTGCCTAATTACCCTAACCTGCCTAGTTAACCTAATTAAGCCTTTAATGGCTGTATAGAAGTATCTAAAAGTATCTAGTAAAATATTATGTACTGTCATCATGGCAAAAATAAAATAAATCTGTTATTAGTTATTAAAACTATTATGTTTTGAAATGTGTTGAAGAAATCTGCTCTTCACTAAACAGAAATTGGGGAAAAAAATAAACACGAGGGCTAATAATTTAGGGGGGGGCAAATAATTCTGAATTCAACTGTATGTATGTACAGTATGTGTGTGTATATATATATATATATATATATATATATAATGGCTGGTTGTTTTACCATCGATGAGTGACAATAGTGGTGTTACAAATTTCAAAGACAATATCTTAATATTAAAAAGGATACATAAGCTTGACAACAAAAGATCCTATCAATGTCATAACGAATGGCCTTAAATTATGCAGCTTGTAGTTTACAGCAAACATCAAGTGTTTATTGAGATTGTGTAGTCTGTTATAATGTCTTTTCATTTTTCTTGTAAGGCACATCTTTCGAAAATGATTACTTAAGACTGCTAGGTAGTTGCGCTGATGCTTTGTAGATAGTCCATGCTTTCCAACATTTGTTTTAAATGATGAAACAGGTTTGTAGTGTTGCCTGTTTTTGATGGCATGAGTCGTCTGCAGTTACAGTAGCAGTGCACATTGCTCCGTTTTGTGTCGGATTGCAAAAAACTAGCTCCAGACTACTAAAGTTTAGTGACGTTTCTTGTCTACAATGTCTGTCACTGTGACCTTATTATAATTTTTTTCTTACTCTTCCAAATGCAACTAACACCGCATGGCTCAAAACTTATACTAGGAGCGGCATCGGAAAGTGTAGGCTGCAAAATGTCTGTGCAGTGTTGCGCATAATGTATAAACATTATCGAACTGTCATTATCGTTTTATTGAAAAAATATATATTTATTGATAATTATCATTATAGAATTATCACCCAGCCCTATTTTTAAATATATATAAAGAAATGCAATGTAACAGAAACCACACTCTTCTCACATTGTTGATGTATTCCAGGTGCTGTTTTCTTGATACATTTGACTGCAACCTGCTCAACAAATAAAGAGAAAAATCAATTGACATCAATTTATAAATCCCTAAATATATTAATCTTTATTATTAATAACAGGTATATGTAAATATAAACTCCAAACATTAATTTAGAATCATCTATAGATTTGCTTTATCTGACAGTTTAAAGAGGTCAGTTTCTCACTGGACATAGCAAACACTGAAGACTTGCATCAGGTATGAAAAAGATTGAGAAAGGTCATTGAAGAGGCTATAATTTAGTTTAAAACATTTTTAAAAATCAAACTACAGTTGAAGTCAGAATTATTAGCCCCCCTTAATTATTAGCCACAATTTCTGTTTAACGGAGAGAAGATTTTTTTCAACACATTTCTAAACAAAATAGTTATAATAACTCATTTCCAATAACTGATTTATTTTATCTTTGCCATGATGACAGTACATAATATTTTACTAGATATTTTTATATTTCTATACAGCTTAAAGTGGCAGTTAAAGGCTTAACAAGATAGGGTAATTAGGCAAGTCATTGTATAACGATGGTTTGTTCTGTAGACTATACAAAAATATATAGCTTAAAGTGGCTAATAATTTTGACTTTAAAATGGTAAAAAAAAAAAACTGCTTTTATTCTAGCCAAAATAGAACAAATAAGACTTTCTCTAGAAGAAAAAATATTATTAGACTGAACATTTCCTTGCTCTGTTAAACATAATTTGGGAAATATTTTAAAAAGAAAAAAAATCAAAGGGCACTAATAATTCTGAGTTCAACTGTATATTGATCTTTCACACTCCGACCTACGTAAACTGCTCCAAATTCTTCTTGAACCAGCAGATTGCCATAGCGGTCAAAGATGTCTGTAAACAGTTAAGGGAATCTTTCATTCAAATTAATGAAAATATATTTAAAAAAATGTATGTATATGATTCATTATTATGAATCTCAATTAAGAGTTATAATTAGAAGTAAAACAAATTTATTTAAATAAATTTCATTTAATACATGTATTTAATACATCAAAGGTTCTGATCCATATTGTTAATCGATTACCCAGCCAGAGTACATGTACAATCATTATCAAATAAAAACTAAATCTGCAAAAAGTAGCTACTTTAAGACTCCTTTGTACCTGAACAAGGATGATAGAAGGATAGGATGTCCTCAAGACAGGCTGGAATCAGATCGGAGATTCAACAGCATCAGCGCTCTAGTCAGACTGGAAGCGAAACGGAACTTTGATGGCATCAGCACTCCCATCAGACACAATGCTGATTGCAGCTTCAGAAACCAGAAGCTTCACTAATTCTAGCTGGAGCACCAGCAACTTTAGGAGCATTCAAAATGCTGACTGGATCACCAGCAGCTTTAGGCGTTTCACTACTGCAGTCAGACACAATGTTCACTGGAGCTTCAAGGGTGAGGATGTCTGTAAAAGACAATTATTTGAAAAAAAAAAAAAAAAGTATATATATATATATATATACATATACATACACAATTATGTCATCAAAATGTTGTGCCGACAACTACTCGCTACTCGTGTGATATATATATATATATATATATATATATATATATATATATATATATATATGAGCAATATCACACGAGTAGCGGTGTGATATGGCTGTATATCGCACTGCTACGAGTGTGATATTGCGTTTATACAACAGTTTGATGACATAATTGTGTATATAAAAACAAAATCAAACATAGAGAGTCTCAAAAACCCTTTTGTATGAGGAACTACTTTCTTCCGCATTGGCCAATCAGATTTGAGAACCAGACAGAACTGCTGTATAAATATATATATATATTGTTATGATTTATGTTTTCTTTCTGTCTTTTTTTTCACCCTCCTCTCCGTTTGCTCAACCCTAGGTTTCTTATTGGTTTCTTATTCTGTCCATCATCATTATGACGCTCTCCGGTTCCACCAATCTCAGGACGAGCCGCAAGCCCTGTCAGACCAGTGTGTGGTGTGTGCCCTGCCTCGGCGTACCCTTTGTGCTCCACGCAATTTGTTTGTGTAAATGCTTCGTCTATTTTATGATCTCTCAGTTACTGTGATAATTCGAGTTGCTTGTTGAACTTTGTTGGCTTTAAGTAACATATGATGATGGTTGTGTGATTCTAAACTAAGATTTAACAGACTTATCCGATTTGTTTTGTTTTAGTTTAGATTGATGTTTTGTTAGATTAGTTTGAGTGTTTTGCCACCCGTGTATTTTTGAGTTTTGTAGTTTGATTAGTTTAGTTCGGGTGTCGTACACACTGAAGATCTCGGTTTTTATTTGTGTTTCTTTTTTGACGCCTAGTTTAGACATTAGATTTAAGGATTGTTTTGTTTTGTTAATTTCTTTGATTTGGCTTACACTCGTTGTTCTTATTTAAAGATAATAATTATAAATGTTTATTTATTTTTTCTCTCCCCCATTTATTATTGTTACATGTTTCAATTCAATTATTGAGTAAAAGCTTTAAATAAGAGTAACTGAACCTTGCCTCATTATTGATCTGTCGCACACACTACACCTGTCTCACTTAAATGTTACAGCATCCCACTTTAACATCATAAAACACGTAACATATATAAACAAGAAATTAGATCCTCCATCACAAAATGTGTGAAGTATATAGAGAAAAGAGTAACATATATTAAACAAAAACATTTTGTCAGATGAAAATGATTAGGACATATTGGTCGAAAGTTGAAACACTGAAAAAATAATAAAACACCAGAGCAAGGATCCACAGCAGAACTCTGATATTGTTGAAGAGCCACAGTATACATTGTTGCACTGGATGTGTCAACATTACAACTATAAAGTGCTTCTTGGAGAAGAAGATTCCAAATGCTCTTGTTTTTCTAACGTTAAGCTTTATAGCCCAGTCCAGTTTTATAGCTCCTCCACACATAATGTCGATATCGACTCGATAAGGGAACGTTTCGACTCGCTTAACGACATAGTGTTGCATATTGCATAGTTATAGCTAGACAAGCATTACTTTGTGGTTCGTTACCATCTGTGTACTTACTGTAACTATAACAACCACTGCGCTCGTTGCCAGCCTAAAAAAACACTAAATGTAGTGGTGACAGACAGTTAAGAAGTTTGTTGCAACCCTCTCAAAGAAATTCCTTACCTCAGAGATTTGTTCCACCCTCAGGTTAATTACTTAACCATGCAAGCGAGCACTGCAGCTAACTAAACCTAATGGGCGAGGCTTCGCTTGGCGCCTCTACCTGAAATCATCGCTTCCACGTTTGCGTTTGGCGCGCAGGGTAACTTACTTCCGGTGCAACATTGGATGGAGATGAACACTTCATAATTCTCTATGCACACAAAACCCTGCATATTTACATAAGTGCAGTGCAAATATTCAAAGTTATTTATAATTACATTAGTGCTGTGCAATTGTTCACTCAAATTGTTCTGCTATGTTTAAATGTTATAATTCATTGATTTCCCTATTAACCGGAAGTTGCAATAGTTTTTTTTTTTAGTTTTTTTGTATTGCGATGCAGTTTCTGGAGAAACTGAGAACAATAGACGGCTTGTTTTTTCTACTGCGGAATGGATGTTTTAAAGTAGGTATTTAATTCAGAAAGATCAGGAAGAGGGGTTTAGAAGAGTTATTACAACCTAACAGACACCTTCTACACACCATTTCCATTTGTTATCAAAACTGACTGTTGGAGCAACGTAATTAAATATGTTAGTCATGCCCAATTCCTAAGATATAAGTAATCTGACGATTTAAATCACAACCATTAATTAGTTCATTTATACACTTATACACTACCGACCATTTAGCTTACCTAATTCACCTGTAGCGCATGTCACCCAGAGGAAACCTACGTGAATGCGGGGAGAACATTCAAACTCCACACAGAAACGCCAACTGACAAAGCCGAGGCTCGAACCAGGGACCTTGCTGTGAGGCGACAGCACTTCCTACTGCGCCACCACGTCGTAAATAAAAAAACAGGAAGTGTATTTTATAATTTTAGTTCAATATTTGAAAGGCAAACTTTTTTTTCTTAAAGGCATGCACAGATGAATTGTTCACCACAAAACTAGCAAGGTGAGCTAATCATATTGTAGTAATGATTTCTTGGGGACATTAATGTTTTTATATTAACAAATATATTCCTGAAGTGCAGGCAACTCTGTATAAATTATGTACACATACTTTTTTTTTTTTTTTTTTTACAAAAAATGTACAGATACTTTTTTGTTTTTTATGTACAGATGTTTTTTTTTTTTTGCAAATTTTTTACAACAATAAATCCAATCATAAATCCAATCATCATTCATCATTCATCATGTTATCTCCTCTTTCACCTTTAGCTCAAGCTTTTATTAATGGGCAGAAGGCAATCCATTATGTAAAGCTGGTGTAGGACACAAATTGTGAACCTAAATTAGATGTAGTACATTACAACCAAGGTCAAGGCTGCAACATCACCAGACCAAAAAAAAACAAAAACAAATCACTTTTATGATCCTTTGGTGTCAGGTCTCTTTATTTGTCTTTTTCTTTTTTTTATCACCCAAAAACGTTAAGCCAACTACCTCGAAGTGGACCCACCGAAAAATAATAAACAAAAACACCCCAACTAAACACCCAAATGAAACTAACAACACCTAATAAAATAATAGAGACAACAATACAAACTCTACTCCTACCTCCCTAACTAGGCATTAAAACAGGAGAAAATATTTACAGAAAGAAAAGTGTGGTGTCCAACCCCTACTGCCTCTTACCGTGTACAATATTTACAATATGTATATTGAAAGAAATGAAATTGCTTTAAAATTGTAAACATTTTTACAAATAAATACTTGTGTTTAACACATTTGTTTCAGTTTGTTATTTGCCTAAATGAGACAGTTTAGTTTTAGACATATATATATTTCATTTTTCTTTATTCCACTCGATTTGGTGAGTAGACGTAATGCTCTCCAACTGGCTATTCTGATTTACTGGTTGAGAAGAGACATTATAAGTTATAAAATGTGTACAACAAGTGAGGTATGATAAAATTATAGTCTAATTTAACTTGTTTTTAACATCAAATAACACCTAAATCAACAGTTTTCATTGTAATTCATGTTTAGTTGAGGAGTTTTACATATTCAGTAGGTCTGAAAGAATAGCAATTTTGGGTTAATCAAATCTAAAGTTACATTAAACATCTAAACTTTATGTTCTATTCATGGGTTAAATTCAACAGACTTAAGGTGACCATCTAATGTGGCTATTTTTGAAACATATTGGTGCCTGTAGCTATGTTTCCATCCAACTATTTTGATGCGCATTTTGTAGTATATGATAGGCCTATGTGCAAAAAAGAAATGGTTAAAGGAAACGTCATGATGCTCATAAATTTTGAAAATGCGCATTCATTCATTCATTTTCTTGTCGGCTTAGTCCCTTTATTAATCCGGGGTCGCCACAGCAGAATGAACCGCCAACTTATTAAGCTAGTTTTTACGCAGCGGATGCCCTTCCAGTCACAACCCATCTCTGGGAAACATCCACACACACATTCTCACAAATATTCATACTCTACGGACAATTTAGCCTACCCAATTCACCTGTACCGCATGTCTTTGGACTGTGGGGGAAACCAGAGCACCCGGAGGAAACCCACGCAAAGGCAGGGAGAACAACATGCAAACTCCACTCAGAAACGCCAACTAAGCCGAGGTTCGAACCAGTGACCTTCTTGCTGTGAGGCGACAGCACTATCTACTGCGCCACTGCCTCCCCCGAAAATGCAGATTTTATTATTTTTTTTTAATAGGACTTTAAGTTAGAGTAGGACAAACTTCTTATTATGCGCATAAACTACGATGGAAACACTTTTTCGCACAAATTTCAGTATCCGCATTAAAAAAAAATTGTGATAAGAGATCATGTGATGATGAAAATGTGTGTAAATGGACAAACCAGCAGGCTGAGTACACTGTAGAACATCTGAACTGTTGGTTTTTTCATTGTAAAATGCATACGGTTAAAGTATTAGTGTTATTATATCAATAATGACCTTTAGAAACAAGAGCGTCTGTGCTTCGCGTCTCACGCCTTTAAATGCCACCGTGCATTCACTGCGTGTCAGGATTGCTTTCTGAGATTGACACAGCTTCTTTTACTGCTGCAAATTCTGTTTTTACTGTTGATATTTGGCGCCAGTTAATCAGAAAGTGACGATTTTGTTAGCTTTGACTCATTGGATGGAAATTCTGCTTTATTCGCACTCGCACATCTTTTATGCAATTATCTTTTTGCGCATAAAGTTCATGCGCATTTTTTGGATGGAAACAAAGCTTGTGACAGACCAGTTCAGTGTTCATGATGAGATTTTTACTGGTCTATTTAATAATAATGATAAAATAGTAAGTACTCAAAAACTACTAGCACATTTCTGTATGGGAAAGCAGCTTGTCATGATTTATGAGGGGAATGCTTAATAGTGTGAATTTGCGAACATAAACTGCTTTTCTCCCAGCCAAATTAAAAGAAATACGACTTTCAGGAGAAGAAATATAATAAGAAATACTGTGAAAATGGTGTCTGAAATTGAATGATCTTATCTTCAGAAAACTGAAGTCATCTCTGGATTATTTATAAAATTATAAAGGATTATTTATAAAGATTATTGTCCCAGCAGATGGCGCTGTTGAAGCTGTTCCTCTGGGATCTTCTCAATCAGCCTGTTCTGCAGCTGCTGGATGGAGCTGCTGACCTTCAGAACTTGAACTGTCCTGCATATGCTGGAGCTCTAGGCACTCCTGGACACAACGGATTGTCTGGCAGAGAAAGGAATGATGGAAACGATGGAGCCACTGGACCCAAAGGAGAGAAGGGAGAGCCAGGTTTGTGTGGGAGAGGAACATCAAGCATATAACATTTTACACATTCAAATGAACTAAATTATCAATACGCTCTTATTCTTTGAATTGTAAACAACTTATATTTAGAACAAAAGCTAAATGTTTATATGTCTGCTCATCCCATTCAATACCAAATTTCATTCAATGCCAAATATTGGACTCACTGAAATCTAAGCAACCCAGTGACAAGATTGACCTTATTGAGAAGGTTGTGAATTTAAAAATGTTCAAAAAGGTTGGACAGAAATACATTACTGATGGTGTAGAGGAGTCTTTTGATAAGGTGATACAGTGCTGCAGCGGCGATGGGTGACATTAGTTTTGCAAAGAACTCTTTTAGAAAACATTGCATTACTGAAACAATTAGTATCCAGTGATTTTAATAAGAAGCCATTTATTAAAATCACGGACAGAGAAAAAAAGGGAGAGTTTCTCGGACACTGAGGGAAGGCATTTGACTTTTACAAACTGGTATTTGTCTGCCTGATAAATCCACCTGATAACTAGGAACTTCAAGATTGCAGTGCTATCAGGCTTGTGGGATAATATCATATAATATCATAAATAGAATGTATACCACAGTGGTTCCCAACCTTTTTCTTTGGGGCCCCCCCCATGAACATATACAAACATTGGAGCCCCCCCACCATATAAATACACACGCACGCACGCACACACATATGTACTGTGTGTGTGTTTGTGTGTGTATATATATATATATATATATATATATATATATATATATATATATATATATATATATATATATGTGTGTGTGTGTGTGTGTGTAATATTAATAGTAATATGGATAGAAAATATTAATTAATCAGTTTTAACTTGTCTTGCCCTTCAATAAAACCAAAATCTAGGTAGGCTTTGTCATACTGTCTAATCTTTTTCTTCGCCTCTGAAGAATCACTGCATTTACGTTTGTCTGCCATTTTTGTTTTGATTTTGCCTTTACGACACGTTGACAAGCAGATTGCGTGAGTGAGCAAAATTTAAATAATTATTTAAAGTTATTTATTATAATTATTTTCACTATTATGTTGGAATTTTAAGCATGTGTTTAGAAATTTTTTTTTTGGTACTTAAAAATACATATATAATAGTAGGGCTGCTCGATTTTGGGAAAAATTATAATCACGATTATTTTGGTCATAATTGTAATCACGATTATTCATATCCATTGCCAGTTAAAGTCAAAATTATTAGCGCTCCTGAGAATTTTATTTTTTTTTTTATAAATATTTCCCAAATTATGTTTAACAGAGCAAGGGATTTTAACAGTATTTCCTCTAATATTTTTTTCTTCTATTTGTTTTATTTTAGCTAGAATAAAAGCAGGTTTAAATATTTTGAAACCAATTTAAGGTCAATATTATTAGCCCCCTTAAGCAATAAATATTTTGATTGTCTGCAGAATAAACTACCGTTATAATGACTTGCCTTATTACTCTAATTAAGCCTTTGAACTGCACTTTAATCTGAATGCTTGTATTTTGAAAAATATCTAGTAAAATATTATGTGCTGTCATCATAGCAAAGACAAAAAGAAATCAGTAATTAGAAATGATATCAAAACTATTATGTTCAGAAATAAGTTAATAAAATATTCTTTCCATGAAACAGAAATTGGGCAGGAAAAGGTTTGCTAATATTCAAGAGGGCTAATAATTCTGACTTCAACTGTATAGTTATTTTCCACCCTGCAAAGGAAAGAGAAATAAATACAATAGAATAAAAAAATGAAACAAACTGTGCTTTAAGCATCTTCACTGTAAGAAAAACACTTTAGCTACAGCAGTCCTTCAGTCAAGAGCAGCGAGGGTTTTCTCGTTATGTTTGTTTAATAATGATAAAAACAGGCGGCAGAAGGATTATAGTGCGCTGTCTCTCTAATGGTTTCTCTTTCACGTCTTTTGATCCTCAACTCGTTTGTTTATTACACAAATGAGGGTTGATGTAAATAATCACTAAACACCGCGTTTTGACACCTATTTGACCATTAAAGCGTTCACGTTAATGACTTTAGATGTCTGCGCTCCTCTGCTCGTCTCAGTGTGCGAATGAGAGTGAATGCTGAGCGGCCGCATGCTTCTGACTGCGTGATCGTGCTGCACACACACATAAGCTCTTTCGCGCTTTTAAGAGCAACACTAACACGTGTACAACTGGAACGTGGCAAAATATGAAGCAATAATCATTTATCTCGATTAATGCTTTTTTTATAATCGTTTGAAACCGAAATCTAAATTGGATTTTCGATTAATTGCAAAGCCCTTTATAATAGTGGAGCATTTTTATGCCTTTTTCTACCACAATACTTATCCTCTCCCGCGCCCCCCCCTGTGAACTCTGGCGCCCCCCTTAGGGGGGCGCGGACCCCAGGTTGGGAACCACTGGTATACCACATACAGTTTTTTTTTTTTTTTGCACAAAATAACAAAAATGTGTCGGGATTTATAACATGTTTAACTTGAAAAGTGTAAAAAAATGAATATTTGATTGAACAATTCATTTTCAGATCAACAGTATTTTTTTCCAAAATGCTTTGCAACGATAGAGACTCACAACCCCCCACCCCCCCAATCGGATTCCAAGTGAGCTCCTCTCTGAAAGCAAATGTAATGAGTTTGCTCATTTCTTTACTGATAAGATCAATAATATCAGAAAGGCAATCAGCTCATCCAATCAGCCAAGTTGTGTCGCAGACAAACTAGCTCAATCACAACTTAAGAAATCAGACATTATGTCTGATTTCATGGCAATTAATGGTAAAATCTTAGAAGAGATTGCGCAAGTTATGAAAACATCAAACTGCAGTCTTGACACGCTCCCCACATCATTCTTCAAAATGGTGTTTACCTGTTTAGAAATGGATCTTCTAAAAGTGGTAAATGCTTCACTTCTTTCAGGGATTTTTCCAAACTCTCTTAAAACTGCAGTTGTTAACCAGGTTAACAAGTTCTTAAACTTCAGGGGGTTTTTAGACAATTTTCAATCTGGTTTCAGAGCACATCACAGTACAGAGAGCGCTCTTATAAAGATAATCAATGATATACGCCTAAATACAGATTCAGGTAAAATAACAGTGCTGGTATTGTTGGATCTCAGTGCTGCATTTGACACTGTCGATCACAGCATACTTCTGGATAGGCTGGAAAACTGGGCTGGGCTATCTGGCACAGTCCTCAAATGGTTTAGATCTTACCTTGAAGGTAGAGGTTACCATGTCATTATAGGTGACCATGGGTCGAGGTGGACACCCATGACGTGTGGAGTCTCACAAGGCTCGATTCTGCCACCTCTCCTGTTCAACCTTTACATGCTCCCGCTGAGCCAAATAATGAGAAAGAACCAAATCTCCTACCACAGCTTTGCTGATAACACTCAGATCTACTTAGCCTTACTGCCTAATGACTACAGCCCCTTGACACCCTCTGCCAATGCATTGATGAAATTAACAATTGGATGTGCCAAAACTTTCTTCAGTTAAACAAAGAGAAAACTGAAGTCATTGCGTTTGGGAACAGAGATGAGGTTCTCAAGGTGAATGCATACCTTAGCACTAAAGGTCAAACGACAAAAAATAAGGTCAAGAATCTTGGTGTGACCTGAGTTTCAATAGTCATGTCAAAGCGGTTAGTAAATCAGCATACTATCATCTCAAAAACATAGCAAGAATCAGATGCTTTGTTTCCAGTGAAAACTTGTTCATGCTTTTATCAGCAGCAGGGTGGATTACTGTAATGGACTCCTCACTGGCCTTCCTAAAAAGACAGTCAGACAGTAACAGCTCATCCAGAACGCTGCAGCCAGAATTCTGACCAGAACCAGAAAATCAGAGCACATCACACCTGTCCTCAGGTCTCTACACTGGCTGCCAGTTACATTCAGAATAGATTTTAAAGTATTGTTACTTGTCTATAAATCACTAAATGGCCTAGGATCTAAATACATTACAGATATGCTCACTGAATATAAACCCAACAGATCACTCAGATCTTTAGGATCATATAAACTAGAGGTTCCAAGAGTTCAGTCAAAGCAGGGTGAATCTGCCTTCAGCCACTACGCCCCTCGCTGCTGGAATCAGCTTCCAGAAATGATCAGATGTGCTCCAACATTAGGCACATTCAAATCAAGACTAAAAACACACCTGTTTAGCTGTGCCTTTACTGAATGAGCACTGTGCTGCGTCCGACAGATCGCACTATCATGTTTTTCTCTTCTTCTTCATTCTTTTATATCAAATTTTACCTGTTTTTATGTTTTTTTACGCATTTTTATTATTTGTTTTTATTTTTATTTTACTTGTTTCTTTTATTCTTGTTTATGTAAAGCACTTTGAATTACCACTGTGTATGAAATGTGCTATATAAATAAACTTGCCTTGCCTTGCCTTGCTTTTGTATTTGTCATTTAGCCTAATAAATGCAGTAAATCCAGAGAAACTGAACATTTCTGTTATTTATTATTATTATTTTATTATTATTAGTAGTAGTAGTAATAGTAGTAGTAGTAGTAGTAGTAGTAGTATTATTTTAGTTAAAAACCCTCCTGTACTGTATACCCCAACCCAACCCCCCCGCCTCTGTTTAACTGAAAAGAAGAACTAATTTAAGGTTGGTTAAACAAGTTAGGGTAATTCAGCAAGTCATTGTAGCAGTGGTAGTAGCAATTTAATTGTTTATATTCTAGCCAAAATAAAACTAAAAAAGACTTTCTTTGAAGCAAATATTATATTATATAACAATATTATAGGAAATACTGTGAAAAATTCCTTGCTCTGTTAAACATCTTTTAAAATTTGAAAAAGAATAAAAAAAATCACTGGAAATTCTGACTTGAAGTGTATATTAAAGATTATTATTATTATTATTATTATTATTATTTATTACTATAATTAATATTATATAGATCAGTGGTCTCACAGCAGTTTTCTTTTATTTCTTAGTTTATCAAACCAACAAACAGTCTAACCCAAATCCAGCCATGAGTCAAGTACTTTATAGTAAATATTCTACTTCTGATCATTTCAGCTCTTCAGCTCTTAACATATTGACAAACTTTGAATGATGTTGTCTTGTATTAGCGTTCACATTCAAATATTGAATGTGTTAGTGTCTTATGAAGATGTGTAAAAGTGGTTGAAATATTTTGCACAAACCAAGATAATACCTGAATTCTGATTTCATGTTATTTCACATTTTATTGTGATATCTGAAGATTTAAAACTGATAAAGCATTATTAGTGATAACAAAAAAGATACCAAATTTACAGAAACATCACCAGTACTTCATTTAATACATTTCAAATGAGTTCAGTCAGTCATAATGTTTACAGTGCATCTCTTAAGTGCTCAAGCATTTCATGTGCTGACCAGGTTTGCCAGTTTTTCCTAACAAAATTAGCGCAATGGACAATTGAAACTAGCCAAATAATATTAAAAGATGCCACCACGAAAGAGCATTTAAGTAAGG